ATGTGCTTCGCGCCACAAAGGCGTGCACTTTTTTGACATCTCAACTTCCAAACGTGGTCCAATGTTGGTGTGTTTTGAACTGAGCGAAATAGCGGGCCGCACTAAGCTCGCAATCAGTTTTGTGCATTTTGACTTGGAAATTTGCTTCGCGCCACAGCGGCGTGCAACTTTGCATCTCTCATCCAGATGGCACCCGCCGCTTTAGCGAGCCTACTTTTCGACCCTCCGGAGCCACAAATCATTGTTAAAACACAGTGTTTCGTGACTTTGCTACTACCTTTTCGCACACCTGCATCTTCTGTCTTCTGCCTCTTTCTCTTCTCTGATCTTCTTTCTTCCTCTCTCCTCTTCTCTGACTCTTCCCACCTCTGCTTTTTCATCTGTCCATCTTGTCGGGAGTTTGACTTCTAAACTTCTTGCGGCCTGCCACGCGAAATCCATCTTTGCAGATCCTCTTCAAATGTCCCATGCCCGCAATTCGTTTTTAAAAATGCTGGAAAACATCACCTTTTGCTCACTTTTGCCAGGGTGCAGGATCCCTTGTGCCTGCCACACAGGACGACGCTTCAACGCCCAAAAGTGGCATGAACATGTGGTGTTTTAATGTGTTTTTAATTTTTTTTAGCATTTCTGACTTCGAAATGTAGTTCACGCCACAACGGCGTGCACTTTTTCAACATCTGACCCTCCAAAAGTGGTCCGAGGCTGAAGTGTTTTGTACATTTTGACTTCGAAATGTGCTTTGCGCCGCAAGGGCGTGCATTTTTTTCGACATCTCAACTTCCAAAAATGCTCGGAACCCGTCAGTTTTTAACACTTTTGACTTCCAAATGTGCTTCGCGCCACAAAGGCGTGCACTTTTTTGACATCTCAACTTCCAAACGTGGTCCAATGTTGGTGTGTTTTGAACTGAGCGAAATAGCGGGCCGCACTAAGCTCGCAATCAGTTTTGTGCATTTTGACTTGGAAATTTGCTTCGCGCCACAGCGGCGTGCAACTTTGCATCTCTCATCCAGATGGCACCCGCCGCTTTAGCGAGCCTACTTTTCGACCCTCCGGAGCCACAAATCATTGTTAAAACACAGTGTTTCGTGACTTTGCTACTACCTTTTCGCACACCTGCATCTTCTTTCCTCTGACACTTTCTCTTGTCTGACTCTTCTGACCTCTGCTTTTCCATCTGTCCATATTGTCGGAAGTTTGACTTCTAAACTTCCTTCGTTCGATAATGTATCATATATACATGCATATATATATATATATACATATACATATTGACATATGTATAAACTAAAGAATAATGTAATATATTATAAAAATATCATGCAATATAATGTAAAATATCTATATAATAAAATAGAGTATAATGTAATATCTATCTACATATATATATAACTATAATGTACTGTATGTGTATACGTATATATTTCTATGACTATTGCGTAGTATTAACATATATCGCCCATATCGCATGTCCCATGGACATGGTATGACATGGTTCATGGATGTTCATGGGTGTTCATGGTTCCCTAATATTGGGATTCCATGGGGTTTCTCCATTGGCCCATGCCATCCCATGACCTTGGACTGCAGCAGCTGCATTGGAGTTGGCAGTTGAGATCCAGGCCAGCAGTCGCTGCCCAATTTCGATCCAGAACCTCAGTCGTCTTTCTCAGCTTCCCCAACAAGCTTGGAACATGAAGAAGAGCCGGCAGTGTTTGAACACTTCACAAGCTGCAACATGATACAAACACATTCCGAAAGTCATTCGAAAAGCACATTATATCACTTGTCAGGGGCTGTTCAAGTTCAACCAGCTGCACCAACTCACTGACCAAGTGCTGAAACTGTTCAAGGCCTCCGCATGTTCCACACAAGACACATGGCTTGTTTTTCAGCATCTTTCCACCAAGCGTCTCCATATCCAAGCGTGTTATCACTGGCTGCATTATGAGCTCAAACTCCTGGCAATATTTGTCAGTGGCGACAAAAAATTGATATATTCATCCTGGATGAATAACTTCTGATTTATAACATAACATAACATAACCATCCCTTCCCTTCCCAAGCACAACTGCAACACACCCACACACATGAAACCTGGTGTGCTTGGAAGCATCAATTTCATTTTTTGATTTTGATGTATGTAGTTGCCAGTGAATTGGTTGAATATCTTCAAGTATGGACAACGAGCACATCTGGCCCAGCACGGCCCTCCCATGGTGAGGCACCTTGAAATGCAAGATGCCACTTGGAACGTGTTCGATGCCTGGAACGAAACAGGCGCTTGCACCCAGCGCAACCCATCTCTTCTTGCCATTGGCCCTCTCCCTTTACCTTCAACATCACTCAACGAATCATGGCAGTGCAAAATGCACGATTTCCGAGCGATGTTTGATTCCCGAAGGGCATCATTGTTGGTTGCATTAATTTTAATATACACATATAATACAATATAATATAAAATAATATAATATAAGAAAATATAATATTAATATAATTTAATATAATATAATATAATAAAATATAATATTAATATAATTTTAATATAATATAATATAAGAAAATATAATATTAATATAATTTTAATATAATATAATATAATATAAGAAAATATTATATTGTATTATATTAAATTATATGATATTATATTATATTTTGGTTCGGGCACCTGCCTCTATCAATGTTTTGGCACACGTCCAATGTTGTCCTCGATGTTGTAAGTGATGTTGTGAATTTCTCGTTTTTTTTCCACGTAAATTTTGATGTTTTAAATTTGGCGTTTTTTTTTCTCACGTAAATTTTGATGTTGTAAATTTGGCGTTTTTTTATTTTCTCACGTAAATTTTGATGTTGTGAATTTGGCGTTTTTTGTTTTCCTCACGTAAATTTTGATGTTGTAAATTTGGCGTTTTTTTTCCTCACGTAAATTTTGATGTTGTAAATTTGTTTTTTTTCTCACGTAATTTTTGATGTTGTAAATTTGGCATTTTTTTTTCGCACGCAAATTTTGATGTTGTAAATTTGGCGTTTTTTTTCCTCACGCAAATTTTGATGTTGTAAATTTGGCGTTTTTGTCATGTAAATATTGATATTGTAAATTTGGCATATTTTTTCTCACGATTTCTCACGTAAATTTTGATGTTGTAAATTTGGTGTTTTTTTTCCTCGCGTAAATTTTGTTGTAAATTTGGTGTTTTTTCCCGACGTAAATTTTGATGCTGTAAATTTGGCATGTTTGATTCATTGTGATTATGAAGTTTTGATTCATTATTCTGATAAGTGATAAGTTAAGTTAAAGTATCTGTTTTTGTCAGCCCACCAGTTGAAAGGTTATTAAGTTATCAGTAAGTTATCCATGTCAATGATGATAAAATTACATGTTTAAACATTAAGTTCAAGTTAAGTTCAAAAAAATAGAAAAATACTTTTAAAAACATGGTAAATTTCCGGTACATCCGAACGGTTCAGAACGGTTCAGGCGTATCAGTTTCTGATACATCCGAACGGTTCAGAACGGTTCAGGCGTCTCCGAACTATCCCGAACCATTCCGAACTATTCCGAACTAATCCGAACTCAGGCCTCCGATACATCCGAACGGTTCAGAACGGTTCAAGCGTATCAGGTTTTTGCCTTAGATTCTAAGCTTAAAAGTGGGCAATTTTTACAACATATTATCATTTAAGTTAACAAGTTGAAGATGCATGACTTGTAAGCAAGTAAAGGTTTTAAGCTATGAGGTTTTAAGTTAGTTACAAATTATAAGAGGAAGAAAAGTTGTAAGACAAGTGATGTCAGTTGCAAGTTGTGAGTTGTAAATTGCCATAAGCCAAGGTACTTCAAGTAAAACTTCGGTGAAGAAAAACATGTCTGAAAGTAACTTAGGCTGTGACACAAGTCGTGGCAGAATGTTTTCCCAAAGAACGGGGCTGGAAGAAACTTAGGCTAAATTTCACAATCTTCTGACAAGTATATGTCACACCCAAACCCGTCTAAGGCAGGCAATCTTGTCACGTGAGCGGTCAGTGGCCCTCTGAGATCCATCCTGGGGGCAAGGATGGGGAAAACGGTGTGACACCTGAACCGTTCTGAACCGTTCGGATGCATTTCATATAGTTCGGAATAGTTCGGGATAGTTCGGGATAGTTCGTGTGTTTATATTAAGCTCTTGCCTCTATAATTTGCCTGTGTGTCATCACACATTTGCCCATAAGTTTACAGCACTAGTCACACAGTACTTCAGTGAGATCGAATTTTGCCTGGTTTCGGGGCGCGTAGAGTCGCGTTGCGTGCGTGCGTACGTGCGTGGACGTGCGTGCGTGCGTGCATCCTGATCGGACCTGCCTTTCTCGCAGGTGAGTCTTGTCTTGTTACCTGCCGTTACCTACCAGTTTTACTTGCCACAGCCTACCAGGATCTACCAGGTTTAAGGAAACGAATTAGTTCATCATTTATTCAGAATTATGCAACACTTACAAGCAGGAAGTGACGATGTGACAACGCAACCGTGTACCAATGTGTGACAGTGACCCACATGACGACAAATCCCATGACACGCATTGCCCCCTGACGACACATTACCCCCTGACGACGCATTGTGACAACACATTCCCTGACGACGCATTGCCCCCTGACGACGCGTTACCCCCTGACGACGCATTGTGACGACACATTCCCTGACGACGCATTGCCCCCTGACAACGCATTACCCCCCTGACGACGCATTGTGATGCATTGTGTGTATATTATTGCCTGACGACACATAGCCTGTTGACAGGCTAGGCATGACGAGCAAGGGCGTACTGTATTCTTTGTATGTGGGAAGATAAATAGAGGAATGTAGAGAGGAAGAGGAGCCGGAGGGCAGATATAGGGATTTGGCCTGATCACCAAGGCTAGGTTATGTCGAAATATATTGTCAAGATCGTGTGGCGTGCTTTTGCAACCTCAGTTGAAGATCCTTGAGGCAAGGATCAATCATTAAGTTGAAGTAGTAGAACCTTCTTATCTTCTTACCAAACCCAAACGAAGAGAGCGCCGGAGTGTTCCAGGAGAAAGCTCAGGAAGGTCAATGAAAAAGTATTGAGCGTGTAGCATTGAGAACATGCGGGAGTTGAGTGCGTAAGATCAAGAGCCTGCTGGAAGTTCCAAGGCTAAAAGCATAGCACAGGAGGCTAGCATCAAGAGAACGCTGGCAGTTCCAAGAGGAAGTCAAGAGCGTAGCACCAAGAGCGTGTTGGAAGTTCCAAGAGAAACCTAAGCGAGCAATACCAAGAGAGCGTGTTGCAGGACCAAGAAAAACCTAAGAGTCTAGCATCCAGAACGTGTTGGAGGCCAGAGCGTAGCATCAAGCGCGTGCTGGAATGCCTGAGGAAGAACAAAAGAGCGTAGCAACTAGAGCGTCCTGGGGTGTTCCAGAACAAAGCTAAGAGCATAGCAGGAAGAGCGTGACTTTCTCCAGACCGCAGCGTCAAGAGGCGGAGCGTAGCACCAACAAGAGCGCGTTGGAAGTTCCAAGAAAAATTATAAGAGCGTATCATCACAATTGTGGTGGACCGTAGCGTCAACAGCATCTTGGACTGTTCCAAGACGAGGTTCAGCGCGTAGCATCAAGAGAGTGTCAGAGCCGGAGCCAAGAACGTAGCATCAAGAGCGTGTTTTAATTCAATGTGTCACAAAAAGAAGCAAAAATAGCGCGCCATGCTTCAAGAGAAGCCAAGGGCGTAGCGTCAAGAGCGTGCTGGCACGTCCCAGGACAAGGCAAAGAGAAAGTGTTGGAAGATAAAACACACCAAGAGCGTGTTGGAAGTTCCAATAGACAGCTAAGAGCGTAGCATCAAGAGCTTGCCGGACTGGCCCAGGAGAAAGCTAAGAGATGCTCAGAGCGTAGCAGCAAAAGCGTGTCGGAAAACCCAAGAGTAAGCCAAGAGCATAGCACCAAGAGCTTGTTCGAACTTCCAAGAGAAAATTAGCATAGCATTCAAGAGGCGACTGTCTCCAGAGCGTAGCGTGAAGGGCGTGCTGAAACGCCTCAGGTGAAGGCCAAGAGCGTAGCATCAAAAGAATTTTCAAAATCTCAAAGAGCAAGCCCAGAGGCTATAGCATCCAGAGCATTTCGTTTGTTACTCTTCCCTTTCGTTTTGTCTTCCCTTCTGTTCCCTACGTCGCTCCTTTCGGATTAACTTCTGCTCCGTTCGTTACTTCCTCCCCATTGTTTCATCTTATTCGTTCACCTCTTTCTCTCATTTAAAGGCGTTCATTTCGCGAAGTCCGTCGTTTCGCTCAAATCTTCTGTCCTGTTCTTCCTGCTCTTCCTTTCCTGTCAACTCGTCCTTTTCATTGCGTCCGTCTTTTTGTTGCAACTCTTCCCTTCCATTCGTTGCTTCCTTCCTTTCGTTTCAACTCTTTCCTTCTGTTCCCTATACGTCGTTCCTTCCGCTTTAAATCGGTTTAACTCTTCCCTTCCGTTCGCTACTTCCTCCCCCTCGTTTCAACGCTTCCATCCTGTTCATTTACCTCTTCCTTTCATGTTCAATGCGTTCATGTCGCTATTTCCTTCCTTTTTTCAAGTCTTACATGCGGTTTGTTTATCTCTTCCTTTTTTCCAAGTCGTTCATTTCGTTACCTCCTTCGTTAGTCATCATGATCGGTGTTGGGGTCCATAAACCAACCCTTGGAACCGTGACCATGGTTCCGCTAGTTCCTGGAACTGGGGGCCCAGTTCCTAACATGACAGGCCCTAGCACTTCTACTAGTTACTAGCGAAGGGTTTAAGTCACATCAGTTGGGCAGAAGTCACATCAACCCCATGTAACAGCGAGTTGGAAGAAAGTCACATCAACTGGGCAAAAGTCACATCAAAATATCAAAATCCCAATGGCACACCGGCTTTCAAGGAATGTTGTTATATCTCCAAAAATGAAGAAAACATTGCGCACACTGAGGTACTCACATATGTTTAAACTATGTTTTCAAAGGATATATTTAGGAATCACCATGGCACACGGCCTCCGAGATCTTTAACTTTGTTTCCTAACAAACATAGATTTCCATGTAATAGCTATGGGCAACATCATCATATCAACAACGTTAAAATCTGAAAACCCAGTGGCACACCGCTGTCAACATCCGCTTCCGCTTGAATGTTTCATAAGTTCTGCCTTCTCAAGGCGACCGAGACTGTAATTTTCTTTTTCGGCAAAATGTTTGCACCAGCGGCAGCAGCAGCAGGAGGAAGCAGCAGCAGGAGGAGGAGGAAGCAGCAGCAGCAGCAGCAGCAGGAGGCAGCAGCAGCAGCAGGAGGCAGCAGCAGCAGCAGCAGCAGGAGGAAGCAGCAGCAGCAGCAGGCGGAAGCAGCAGCAGCAGCAGGAGGCAGCAGCAGCAGGAGGCAGCAGCAGCAGCAGCAGCAGGAGGCAGCAGCAGCAGCAGCAGGAGGCGGCAGCAGCAGAAGGAAGCCGCAGCCGCAGCAGCAGCAGGAGGCAGCAGCAACAGCAGCAGGAGGCAGCAGCAACAGCAGCAGCAACAGCAGCAGCAAGCAAGCAGAAAGCAAGCATAAAGCAGCAACCAGCGTTTGCCCCGTTGAAAGAAGAATGAAATATAACATAATTTTTATAAATCAACGCAATACAAAAATTGAGCTTTTTCTAGGCGCACGGCCCCAAAACAATGAATTATCCAATTACTAAAAGTTGTGGTGATGCCAAACTTGAACTTTTTCCAGGCGCACGGCCTCCCGATACAACTTCTACAAGCTGATACGACTTAACGCTAGGGCTAGTAGGGTCAAATAGAATCATGTCAACAAAACATTGCGCACAGCGATGAAAAAGTGTTCGAATCAAAAGCCCATCAAATAAAGAACTATCAAAATCTATGCTAAACACTGCGCGCGCGGAGGTGTGATACGACTTCAGGTCGATTGATACGACTTAAGCCTAGTGGTAGTAGGGAAAATATGCAATGTGAACCAAACAAAGACGTCCGCTATACGGTGAAAACCCACCATGGACAAAAAAAAGTGTCCCTACGGTTTGCCAAAATAGAAACTAGATGCATATATGACATGCATGTAGGCTTTGAGGTTATGCATGCTTTTCTCCCAAGTCGTTGGTGAAAAAGTCGTCTTCGGAATTCGTCTTCGGGGAATTCGTCTTCGGAATTCGTCTTCGGGGGGGAATTCGTGGGCAATTCGTCTTCGGGGAATTCGTCTTCGCGGGGGAGTTCGTCTTCGGGGGGCAGTTCGTCTTCGTGGAATTCGTCTTCGCAATTCGTCTTCGGGTGGGAATTCGCCTTCGGGGTGCAATTCGTCTTCGGGGAATTCGTCTTCGCAATTCGTCTTCGGGGGGCAATTCATCTGCGGGGAATTCGTCTTCGGCATTCGTCTTCGGGGGCAATTCGTCTTCGGGGAATTTGTCTTCGCAATTCGTCTTCGGGAGGCAATTCGTCTGCGGGGAATTCGTCTTCGGGGGGCAATTCGTCTTCGCAATTCGTCTTCGGGTGGGATTCGTCTTCGGGGTGCAATTCGTCTTCGGGGAATTCGTCTTCGCAATTCGTCTTCGGAATTCGTCTTCGTCTGCGGGTGGAAATGTCATACCCGCACAGCGGGCTCAATGTTATATTATATTATATCATAGCATATTATATTATATTATATAAAATTATAATATATTATATTATTTTTAAATAAATTAAAAAATGTTATATAAATATGCATGTTTACATATGTTTACCCATTATGTACCTATTGTACCCCCATTAAATAAATACCCATTACACCGTGTGCCAAGGTGCAAAAGTATAGAAAGGGAATGGTCTCCTGGCACCGGTGCCACCATCTGCTAACCTACTCCACTGACATTGGAATTTTGGATAGTTTATGAAAAAATCATCCACACTTCCAAGATCACAAACCAATGGAATGGGGCAGGCCCAATTTTTGAGAAAAAACATTATAGCTCTGTTGTTTGGACCCGCAGGGCCCGCAGAGTCTCCTTCTGATTTTTCCGGTGCTTCAAAGTCTCCCGTCGATCGCTGTAATAGCCACTGTCCTCTGGGGCACAGCATGGCACGGCCAAAACGCCAAACATAGAAAGCAACTTCTGCACCCTGCGCCTTTCTGGACCATGGGACATCAAATTTGTGACCCAAACGGCTTTCGCAAACACCAAAAACTAACCAAGGACAAGGCACATATTATATTCTCAATATGTGCAATCCATGTATGTACAGTATATGTGTCTCTATCTCTCTCTCTCTCTCTTATTTTCTGTCGCTCTGGTGCTGGTCGTGAATCACACCCCGGATCCTTGCCGCTTTATTGTTTAGCGATAATTGAGATTAAAAAAAGCTCGCGATTCCATGATTTTCATTGATTTTCCAACATCTGTGGCTGACCTGATAAAGTGTAGATGGACCATTGCGACCGTGGTCCCATGAGTTGTGCCTCTGGGCAAACAATGATGGGTCGTTGCCGGTCAGCTTCCCGCAAGTTGTCGATCCTCAGCGGCAATGGTACTGGTAAAAGCCACATCCGCTGGTCGAGTGTAGAAATACCCGAAAACCATCAGCCTATCAATGTATATTCACCCCACACAACGAATCCTTTGACTTGTGTCGCTCCCTGCTTCATTGCTTTGCGCGAAGCCAAACAATCCATCAAGCTTCTGGAAATGGTGGACCGCGAACTTTATTTTCCTTTCCTTTGCTTTCTTTCGCAGCCTCGGCGCTGCAATGATTGCCGCAGCACCACTGCATATTACATGGGGTAAACGTGGGATGATCAAGGCATATGCCGGCATATTCAGCATAACTAGCAGCTGCGATCACCATTGGATAGTGCTCGATAAACATGACGTATTTGCTGGATAGACATGGGACACCGGTGGCTGTCAAAGGCTAGTTGGACCAAGCAACTGTATATGATCCACCGTCACTGCAAAAATCTCCTCATCCAATTCGTTGACATAGCCACATCCCAGGCTGGTGGCCTGTGCTTGAAACCTGGTGAATTTGAGCTCAGAGCATCACAAAGGACCCAGCACAGTAAAGCAGGGGCACGTCAATCAAAGGGTGGATGGAACACATCTGCACTTGTGTGATTAGGTTGGATTGCGTGAATAAAACTATCATGTCTAGGTGGATCTGGCAACACTTTAAGATGCTTTAAGGCTGTTCGGCATGGTCTGTGCATCCCAGGCTGCACTATTCCACCGCCCATGAGCTGCTTTGTTATCTTGGCCGAATTATGAGCACGCGGAAGGAGAAGCCACAATGTACAGCAAACAGCACAACCAATCAGAATATATCAACCTTGTTTATGTGTAGTCCCCGTAAAGATTCCAGAATCTCTTGCGTTTGTGTGTGTGGAACATCTGAGGAGATGTAAAACTTCTAACTTGCACTTGACTCGTTTTCGCCTGAGGTTCTAATCTTAGTTTGGTTTTCAACCTGATTTTCAGTAAAGGTTTCCAATCTGAATTTCAGCAGGGGGGTGCAGAGCACAGTGGAGACTGCACCCAACGAAGCTATCCACTTGTGCTGGAAGCAGAGTCTGATCAACTCTGTGTACATGCAATTTCAATTTCTGTTTTATTTCCATTCCGTTTTCCGTCATGGCAACCGGCCAAGCCTAGAACCGCCAAGTCGATTCGATTTTCAATTCTTTTCATTTCTGCACTGTTGTCGCAATCTGGAACTACTTACGGTCAATTACTGAAGACTAAGCTGCATCAGAACATTGACAGAATTACTTCGCACAGTTTTTCACTCCTGATCATCCAATGTCTCCTGTCAGGTTTAACTGAAGTGTTTTTGCACGTACGATGCATTCCACATCAGTAATTCGATAAGATGTTTCTGAGCAAGTGTGTGATTCATGCTGGATTCGTCAAGGTGGCATGAACCCTTCGGGGAAAGCCTTTCTAGGCTAAGAATTGACACGTTGAAACGATCTCTGAATTTACACTTTTGAATTGGTAATTCATCTAAGTAAAGTGAACTGCTGGCCTTACTTCAATTTTCACCCATCGGTCGAGTGAGTGTTGAACTGCTGGCCGCTGTGCTTGGCTCCACCATTTTCCAGAGATGCAAGGGTTCGTAGTCTGAAGCTGCGACAAAAATCCTTCCGTTATCTCAAGAGACTGACCGCAGCCTTTTTCACATGAAACTCCAGGCAACAGGACATGCTTTTCAGGTGTGAACACTTCCTTTTGGTTACCCTGGTGAGGTTCAATTGTGCACGTAATTCAGGGGTTGACGACGTAAGCCGTCTACGGGGTTGACGTGACATTTAGGCCTGTGAGCCTGCAACCAGGGGTATTTTTGCACGATAATGTGGATGCATCAATTGTGAACTGGTTTTCTTTGTTTTAATTTACTCATATTTACTCAACCTGACATTGCCGCCATGTGACCTGGACGTTTTCCCAACGTCCCTGACACGATGTGGAACTTTGGTTGGAACCCGCAAACGATGGGACTTCAAGGTCAACTTTGCGGAGGTGACATGATGAATCAGCAGTCACAAGCTCAGTCTCAAGCTCAGACTCAGGCTCAGATTGCCGCTCTTAGGGAGCAGAACGCGATTCTCAATCAACAGCTCACTTCACAAGCTCAATCTCATATCCAACATCTTCAGCAACTCATCCCCTTCCATCAACCTACCCAACAGGCTCACGCCACATCCACTCCACCGACTCCACAACCATCAGGGCCTCAAGTGCCAGATCCACCAACACCAGTGGTACCTCAAACCTCTCAAGCTGGACCCAATCCATCCTTCAATCCTGAAGAGATGATGCAACAGATGAAGCACACAGTCGAATCCAGCATTCAAGCTTTCGTGGATAAGACCCAAGAGCGCAACACCAACCAACCTCCTGCACCAGCACATCCACCCACTCCAACCTATCCACACAACATCAGTCACTCCCATCCACTTGGAGAATATTCAACATCCAGTCGCCGATCCCAACGACGATCCCGGCCCCATCGCCATCGATCCCTGTCAAGGAGACATGACAAACGGCCAGTCTCCATTCCTCGGAGCCCTCGTCGTCGAAGATCCACAAGAAGAGTCCGTCGCTCTTCACGACCTCGATCCTCCTCTAGAGAATTTTCCACCTCCAGGCATGCCTCACGTCAGCCAAGCAGAGCCACGTCCATCACCTTACGCTCAGCATCTCCACAATGTCGAGAAGGACGACATCGTGTACAAGATCATCAATCACCACGGGAAAACACCAATCCACCAGCTACTCTCCAACCCGCATCGTGGGATTACTACCCACAACAGTCTTCACAAAACACCAACACTCAGTCACAGTCCTACCACTACGGCCAATCGTCCACCAACAAGTGGCAACCCTGGGGACAATGGAAAGACGATTCCAACTCCTCCAACTCATCCAATCCATCCAAATGGATTGGCTACTCCAAACCATCAGCCATATACAATGATCCTTATGACTGTTCTACCAAGCCACTCACAGCATTCTCCTCCGACCACACCACATCTCATCACCAGAAGAAGAAACCACCAAACACACCGGGTTCGGATCAATCCCATGCTCCTGTCAATGTCCCTCCAGGACACGTAGCCATCAACCTTCAAGAAGGTTCCAAGGAAGAGTGGTTCAGAAGCATCAAATATGCCTTAAATCATCCTGAGCGGATGAGAGCGGCCAATGAAATCGCGCTAGGCGACAGACCTCAACCGTCGCAAACCATGGATCACCAGGCCTATGAACAAGCCTGCGAGACTTTGAAGAAGGTTGACAGCCGCATTCCCCCGGATGTTATCCAAAAAGCGATCCAGCTGTTCTTCAGCACACACCTCCTTCCTGACTATGATCTTACACAAGCACAGATCCGAGAACTTCCTTCCACCAACATGATTGCACTCATTCTCCCTTTACCTGACTCCAGTCACTTTCAGATGCCACCTCCATTTCGAAAGCGTCAAAACCATACATGGGCGCTACTTCATGGGACGACACTCCGTACCTCCCAGCTCATCCTCCTTGAGGGCAAGATCAGACCAGCCAAATGGTCTTACCACAAGAACCTTCAACGGTGCGACGTGCCAGCCTTTGGGGCCTTCCTACCTTGGCAGAGAAGTATCCAACAGTGACAAGACCATACCAGAGTGGGCGGCAAGAGAGCTTCGCGACACCATCCAGAAGAAAGGGAAAGGACAACAAGACATCGTCTTGGGGCGATGTATCGAGGTGCAAATGTCCACACCGCATACAAAGCTGGTGGCAACGAAATGGCGCAGCTTGCTGTAGCCGACAAAGGAATAGTCACCACGTCCGAGAAGTACACGATTGCCCACAGCAATCACGTGGGACTGAAGTTCGTTGCCCTGAAGTGGCAAAATCTGACCGACAAGATCGACGTTGGCGACTCATCCTCAGATGACGTAAATTATCGCACCACTGAGGAACGATACTCAGGTCGCCGTTGACAGCAGGACCTCATTGCTGACCAGTTGTCGTCATGTATTATTAGCTCTTTTCGGCATCACCCGGAAACCGGAGTTGACATTTCTAGGGAAACCTGGACACGCTTTTGATCAAAAAAGTGCGGTTGCCTCAATCTGACTTGAACATGTTTTGACCTAAGGTTCGTGTCGTGTCATGTATCACCACTGCACTCTCTACATTGCCATGCTGCGACTACATATGAATCGAAGTGATTTCAATTTTCGTTTTGGATTCATCAACGGTGATGTCCATGGCTTGCTTTAATCTGATTCATTTCATTTCAATAATTTGACCCTTGTGTATACATCCTGCAGTTTTGATACTTTTCTCATAGCTACTAGAGATTTTGAGTGACATTTCTCAATGGCAGGCTCGGATAGATCCAGATCTCCAATGCCGGGACAAAACCGCTCTGAGCCTCGTGGACTAGCTCAGCCAGTACGACAAGAACTACCCTTCTTTCCTCGCTGGTGCGGACCTATGCAAGCGGCTGTCTGGCACTCACAACAAATGTCACGCCCTCAGTTTCGACCTCATTTTGCGATGCAGCAGTCGGGAGCCTACATGCCGAACAGATCAATGCACCAAAATCCACCCGTACTTCAGGGCACATGGCCCAGTCAACGGTTCCCACCGGCACCTCCGTCATCACCTCCACCAACTCTTGGCTATCCAGTTCCTCCTCGCCAAGTCACTCCACCAACCTCACCCACATTACCCTGTCCACAAACACAACCAGTTTCACCAAGCACTCCATCCGTCCCATCATCTCAACCTCGTCCATTCGACACTCCACAAACGACTTCACCAGGAGGCCAAGCAAAACTGGATGCCACCCGCACCTATGGCTTTGATATCAATCCTCATTGGCAAGAGGACAAAGACCACTATGACAACCAGAAGATCAACGGCTTGACTTTCCCACGAAGCATTCGTCAATCAGCTTTCACGCAAAAGCTGGACATCGAAGGGTGTGATCCTTTGCAGCTCCCTGTGGCAGCCTTGCTATATCAGCAAGCCAACAACTTTTGGCTTCGCAAGCTGGCTCATGGTCGTGAACTCTACTTGATCCCTACTGGGGACATCGCAGCAGTTGTTTTCATGACAGAGCTCTTGACGCAGCTCAGAAACAAGGGAGTCGACCTGGACAAGGTCTCTCACAGCCGGGCTAGGCAAGACGGCAAACTTTTGGACAAGACCAACAACACCAAGTATGCAGCGCAACAGATAGCTGATCTGATCCACAGCTGGGTTCCGACCCGCACAGCAGATCTGGAGACTCAACATGAGCTCACCCAACTCCGAAGCCAATTGGCGCAACTACGTCAAAGAATGGGAGAAGACACGGGCGAACCCTCCACACCAGCTACTACGGGACCTTCTGCTTCAAGCCCTGCTTCAACACCCATCCAACAAGCTCTCCTGAGGAACTCCAATAACCTGGCACGTCCTGCGCCACCGGGTTTCGATCCGTCTTCTTTGTTGGTTGGCACTACCACACTCAACCCGTGGCTA